AAGAAGAAGAATCCTAAGTAAGCAAGATTCTTGATAAACAGGGAAGAGAAGAGATGCACGGGGCATTTTTTGGCTGGGCAGTGGTGGCGCACACCTTTAATCCCAGCACTTGGGAGGCAGAGGCAGGCGGATCTTTGTGAGTTTAAGGCTAGCCTGATCTACAGAGCAAGATCCAGGAAAGGCGCAAAGCTACACAGAGAAATCCTGTCTCGAAACCCCCCCACCCCTCCACCCCCCACCCCCCCAAAAAAAGAAGCAGAAAGTCCAAAGAAAGAAGAGTGGCTGTAACTTTCAGGACAGAGACAAAATTGAACACAGGGATTTTTGAGCTGTGATAAGGGAAAAAAAAAAAACCATCCAAATCAATCAATAGGGAATTGTGTCCAGCCCTTATATGGAAAGAGAACAGGGCCTGATTCTACCATCCAGGTGGGAAAACAGCCCAGCAGACAGTACTCAGGAAGGCCTTACTCATACAAAGCATAAAGTAAGCAGTTCTTTGACTCACCAAACAAATCATAGACACAAAATTCTAAACATTCAAACTGGCCAAGTAATTTAAATGAACTCCAGAACAAAACTCAATATTTTTAGAATATTTATAGAATATTTTAGAGTATTTATAGAAAGTACAAAAATATCCAAGACCCAAAATAGTAATATTCACAATGTCTGCCACACAAGCAGCAGAAAAACATAATGAATAATGAGGAAAATAATCAAACAAAACTGAAATAAATTTAGAATTATGAACCACATTTAAAAGCTAGTTCCATAGATTTTCATTAAATAGTTATCCAAGCAACAACATGGACATAAAAAAAAAAAAAAAAAAAAAAAAAAAAAAAAAACCTCAAACAAAATTTTGATAGGTTTTTTTGGGGGGTTGCTTTGTTTTGTTTGAAACAGGATCTAACTGAACAGTGTCAACTGGCTGTCCTGAAACTCACTATGTAGATAGGCTGGCCCCTAACTCATAGAGATCCATCTGCCTCTGGCTCCTGAGCTCTCAGATTCAAGGTATATGCCACCATGCCCATCATCAAATCAAAATTTGATAGATTAGGTATTATGTATTGGTTTTTGTTAAAGTGGGATTAATTAGTAGAGGAATATGTTGCAATAGATAAGATGAATGAGGGCTGGGAGTCGTCAAGGTGCTTTAAGAGGGCCTGCTGCTCTTGTGAAGGACCTAAGTTTGGCTAACAGAACCCATTGTGGGCAGTTCACAACCCCGTTACTCCAATCCAATCGGATATCCTCTACTAGTCTCTACTGGCAATGTACTCATGTTGCACACAAACGTAACAATTCTTTTTTTGTTTTTTAAGATTAGTGAGCTTCCAGAATGAAACAGTAAGATCACCGGTAACACACCCACACAACCAGACACACCCACACAGCCATACCCACCTCTACTCCCACATGCACCACACACGCCCACAGTGAGGGGTGCAGGAGGGAGACAGGGAGGGAAGGAAGGAGGGAGTAAGAGGGAGAAAGGGAAGGAGGGAGGGAAGAAAGAGGCAGGGATGGCGCACGCCTTTAATCCCAGCACTCGGGAGGAAGAGGCAAGATGGTCTCTGTGACTTCGAGGCCAGCCTGGGCTACAAAGTGAGTTCCAGGACAGGCACCAAAACTACACAGAGAAACCCTGTCTCGAAAAACTACAATAAATTAACACACACACACACACACACACACACACACACACACACACACACACAAAGAAAGACAGAGCACAGAGTTTGGGGTTTGTCCAGCTGGTTTTTGGTCTTGCTCTGGTCCAGTTTTTCCTCACTATGCTCCCATCCTACATTTTGGAGCTATAATGTATATCCTGTGCTACTGTGTGTTGGAGGTATGTGATCTGCTTTTTTATTTCAATTTTATAAGGGAATATATATGGATAAAAGTGACATTAAGTATAACCAATTCACTCTCCCAAATTTAACAGCAACTTCCATTTGCATAGCCTCCCTGTAGGAATAAAACTCACCGATCAGGTTATCAGGCTCAGGACAGCTAGTTCAGGAGAAAGAAAGCAGACACTGACATTTCATTAAATGCTAAAATCACTGTTGTATGCATGTTGAATCTACAAGCTTCTTATATGAACTAGGTGCCC